AGATTAGGTTGAAGGGTAATAAACTTTGTATCAGGGACTTAAAGAACAATGCTATCAAAATAATATCTCTCACCCCCCCCCCATCCCCATTAACACTCATTCTTACATGCAGGTATCTCTCTCCATTTGCCCCCACCCCCTCTTCCTTCATCACCCTTCTTCGTATCTCTCTTCATCAACATTGCTCTCCCTCTCACCCCACTCTTTCTCCTTTGTGATCCTCTCTCTCTCACACACTATTTCTCTATCTTCTCATTCAGTCTCCCTCCAAAGTCATCTAGCTATCACCGTTTCCCATGCTCTGTCCCTGGCTGTTTTCTTTTCATCCCCCCCCCCTTTAAACAAATCTCTCTCACTCATGATTTTAAGTTTTCTAAGCATCTCGCTTTTCTGCACCTCTTTTTATGTTGTCTCTAGTGTATCTGTTTCTCTCATCTCTCCCTCTCCCTTCCCCCCCCCCCCCCGCCCTCTCTCTCTCTCTCTCATCGTCTTCCCATATCTCTCCTAGATTTCACATCACACAAAGAGATCAGAGATACAGAGGGTATATTTAAATCTTCCTTTTTTATTCAACTTAGAATCATAACTTATTATAACATAAGTATAGGTAAGTATATAATTCATTGTCCATATCAGGAAATTCGAATTTTTCGGGTTGGTACAAGTTATACAATCCAAACATACACACAATGAAACAAAATACATACATAATATACAAGAATACTCGAGTTATTTATCGTCATCCTTACAATCAATTCCATCAGACAGTTTAATAACTAAATGAGCTGATCATTAGTATTATCATTATTATAATCATCAGTATTATTGTCCATATCATTGATGGTAATTACTTACCTACCTATATACTTACTGCATTTTATTACTTATCCAATATCATTTATCACTACATTCAGTGCCATTGATATAGTGTGGCTAGATCATGTTATGTTTAGACAATCTAGTACATTATTATTTTGTGGCTTAATTGGTTATTGATAATTTAGATACAGTATGAAATCTATGTATTGGCAATGTTTGTGCACAAGTAGGAATGGTAGCAAAGATACAGGGGAGAGAAGAGAAAGAGAGATATGGAGGGAGAAAGAGAGAAAAAAAGAGAAAAAGAGAGAGAAAAAGAGAGAAAGAGCGAGTAGGGGGATATAAAACAACAGAAAGAGGAGAAAGAGTAAAAAGGGAGAGAGAGAGAGATGACAAATATGTACACTGTTGGACATGTACAAGATAACTTCATGATGGTGACACTCGTCTTGCTTTGGAGTTAAACAGATGGATAAACAATAGACTTAGGGACAAAGGATTGTCTGAAACATCCCGGAAACATGCACGTTGAGTTCGCGGTGCACACAGGTGTGTTCCTGATCAGTTTACACTCAGTGGATGCGAGCTTGGGTCCTGCATTATCTGTATCACTTTTAGAAAGGACATTATTCTGGTACAGATCTTCGATTGATGGTAAATCCACTGCAGCTATGATGCATTTCACTACCTTTCTTGGACGTTCTAACATATACCTGGTATCAGTCAGATTAGGTTGAAGGGTAATACAATTTGTATCAGGGACTTAAAGAACAATGCTATCAAAATGATACACATCAATTATGAAGTATAAAATATTGGCGCAGCAGATATAGATTGCTAACCCACATCTATCAAAAATAGTTACATGTATTAGATTTACTATCAACCGCTTTGACATTTTAAATTGAAGCCTTAATCATCATTTTTTCTGAGAATGTAGGAAAACAATATGTGCTAAAATTTATAGACAAAAATGTATATCGAACCAAATGACAAAGGAAATTATCATGTCATTATACATCTTCATTCAGTAATCACATTTGCATAGATTAACAATACATGCATATATATATATACATAATACATGTATGTATCTATTGTATTTCACTGAGGCCATAGGCTGAGGTTGAAATATAATGGCACGAGGGGAATTCTGAATTAGGAGATAAAAACATATTACACTGAACAATGAAATGCATGGAATATTTATTATACAAAATTGTTGGTATTTGCGAACCTTTGGAGTCAGGTCCTCTTCATTACTTTCAGATTGCCTGCGCGTCAGATGCGTGCCGTTAAGACAATGCAAACAATGGGTACACGTAACAAAACTAGAAGAGATGTGCGCAGTTTAATTCTCTTTCGCACACATTATAACGTGCAATTTTTTTTGTCATATTGCACGGTCGTGGAAACATACGTTAATGTTGAGTGTCACGTGACAGTTTCAGCTAATAGGATACTCACTAACAACTAGACTATCATCAAACTATAATTTGCAAGTTCTTTTGTCTCCTTGGTACATCAAAGTGGTGGAAAATCTAAGGCACGGCAAACTTAATTTCAGTAATTCACAATCATCCAATATACATAGAAAGACCTGCTTAGTACATCATTTTGCATGACATAATTCAGAATAAACTCACAGATCTGAGCTATTCGCATTGTCTATTATGAAAATCAGATTGGATTATAAAAATGAGATCACTTAATCAGAAGCGGATGGTGATCGAAAGGCAAGGTAACAGAGTACTGCTTACGTTTGTATCTTATACGCCATTCAGGAATGCAAACTTACTAAAATATAAAACTTATATACAAGGCAAGTATGGCAAACATATACAAGTTAAAAATATACATGAATCATGCCATTGCATCATAATCATAATGATGTGAAGAAAAGCCTGCAATACGTATCATCAAAATGATGAAATGCAGTACTGAATACAATTAGAATAAACATGTATGGTACAATTTTAGTTGCACGTTTACATACACACTGGAATGATGTAGAACAACCTGGAAAATATTTCCTTAAATTAGATTTATTATATAGTACTGGTGGATGTAGCCTACATGTAGTTATATTAACATGTAAAAACAATAATCCATGTCAAAATAAATATTACACTGATAACTCAGGCAAGAGACAAGTATCTGAATAGTATAGCAGCATATTTACACAAACACTGGTGTGATGTAAAGAAAATCCAGGAAAATATTTCCTCAACTGGATTTATTGTAAAGTACTGTAGTGTGTTAAACATATACAAACAATGATCCATGTGAAATCAAATATTACACTGATAACTCAGGCATGGTACATTACCAAAGAGACAGCAGATTAACATATACACTGGAGTAATGTAGGGAAAGTCCTGGAAATATATTTCCTCAAATGCATTTTAAAATCTAGAAGTGGATGTATTTCTAAATTTAAAACAATAATCAACGTCAGATAAATTGTTACACTGATAACTCAGGCCTATGACATACACCCTTACCAGACAAAGCTAGTTCTCAAGTATACCGATTGAGCTCTATCAAGTTTGCTGACATGATAACTAGAGCAATATGGCTCTTAACATCTGGGCCATTTCCGGAAATTAATTCACAAGATAATTTAGAATCTACTTAATTATATTTTTATTGAACATATGTGCAATGACATTGACAAATACAGTGATATTTTGATAAGATAATTTGAAATATTATATACATAACCTCATAACTCACTTTGTGAAAGTTAAGTGGTATTTCATACATTGCATACAAATCACCTGAAACAAAATGGTAAAACATCCTTGACAATTAAGGCATTAATCCACATTTGCCACTCTCCACCCAGGTACACATCAGCACCTGATATGCCAAAGCGCTACATATTCAGCCGCCTAGGACCATTGTAAGAATGTTTGAGTGTTATGGTATGATGGAGTGTGGACTATATCTTAGAAGCCATCGTTATTATCATTATAACAACTAGCTGTTGTCACCCTCTATACACAGGCATAATGCATTAACATAGCCGAGTCAAAAATTAATCCTATTTGGAGTATTTTCAAAAACGTTTTCCACACAACATGGCCCCTTTCTGCATAAAACAGGTGTACACAAAGGGCTCTTGATGCAACTCTGTTTTAGGCTTATTGAGTACACATTCACAAAACGTATCCTAGTTTTGCATCATTTTCTACATAGGACTTTCACATGTTTTTGAACATTGTGACAATATAATGTTTTCTTTCTCGTAAAATATATATACACTAACATTAGATAGTGGACTGTACTCATCAGGATGAAAAAAGAAGAAGACTGCCTTTTTGCAAATATTCAAACGTTTGCATATACATTGCCGAAAGTTGTCCCCTTTTACCCAAAATTTCCTGCTATCACTCCAGGGCTTGAAACCAACAGGCTAGCCGGGACACCCAACATCTAGGTCCAAACCCTCAGAATGTGGAAGTATTTTCTTAGGGCTTTTATGCATACAGACTGTAAAAAGTTAAATCTCAACCTCTTTCCAAAAAGAGTTAGTGTGGAGCCCTGTATCATACATTGACAAAGTCAAGATGAAGTGTTACCACTGGGACATTGTCTTACTCTACCCATACCATAGCAACTAGACTTTATACTTTGATTGCTTCTCTGGAATTTCAAGATCATCCTGTGGATCTCTTGAGTGAGTGCAAGGAGCTTGCCTCTTGTCAGGCCTGCTCCGACTGCTGCTACCCTCTCCGTGTGTTAGAGAGAATTGACAAAGAGTATCTGATGTACTGCCAACATGCTGTTGAGGGTGGTCTGATGAAGGTAATGTCCTTCTTGGATAGTGTACATCACCCATGGGTTGCTGTTGAGGGTGGTCTGATAAAGGTAATGTCCAACTTGGGTAGTGTACATCACCCATGGGTTGCTGTTGAGAGTGGTCTGATGGTGGTAATGTCCTTCTTGAATAGTGTACATCACCCATGGGTTGCTGTTGAGGTTGGTCTGATAGTGGTAATGTCCTTCTTGGATAGTGTACATCACCCATGGGTTGCTGTTGAGGGTGGTCTGATAGTGGTAATGTCCTTCTTGGATAGTGTACATCACCCATGGGTTGCTGTTGAGGGTGGTCTGATGGTGGACATGTCCTTCTTGGATAGTGTACATCACCCATGGGTTGCTGTTGAGGGTGGTCTCTACCAGTACTGCTTGTACTTTGGATTGGGGACGAAAAGTTGGTGGAATGTGATACCTGACTGAAAGAACCTGGTCTACCCGTGTTCCCATGAACCGGTGGTTGATACTGTGTTTGTGAAAGGTACCCTGCGAACATGGTAGGTTGATCATGCCTCGAGACTGGAGGGTTAGGAGACGGAGCAGAACTTGACATAGTGGCATGGTAGGTAGGATTGTAGTAAGCCTCTCTATACTCAGGACTGCAACAATAACCACTGAATGGCTCAATTGGAGCAGGGGTGTGGTACCCAGCAGACATGCCTGATTGGAGATTGGAAGGCATACATTGGGGCTGACTAGGCTCAGGATTCCTCGGTAGTGCATTATTCTCTGAATAGACTGGCAGAAAACCAGACTGATTCCTCAATGTACGTGGCTGTTGTACAGGTTGCCCCACAATGACATTGTCCTGAGACTCTTGCAAGACTGGGATATTAGCACCTAACCCCCTTGGTAGGGTGTCTGGGGTAACATTGGTGTTGGCATCAGCTGAGTTGTCTGAGTCGTTTGAGCTGCCCAAGTCAGCTGAGTTGTCTGAGTTGTTTGAGCTGCCCAAGTCAGCTGTGTTGTCTGAGTCGTTTGAGCTGCCCAAGTCAGCTGAGTTGTCTGAGTTGTTTGAGCTGCCCAAGTCAGCTGAGTTGTCTGAGTCGTTTGAGTTGCCCAAGTCAGTTGAGTTGTCTGAGTCTTTTGAGCTGCCCAAGTCAGCTTAGTTGTCTGAGTTGTTTGAGCTGTCCAAGTCAGCTGAGCTATAAAGGAAACAGATGTTTTGTTACTGGTACTATCTGTTTGCAAGATGAGAAATAAAAAGCCAACTACTATTGGTCTTATTGAAAGTACTAGTCTCAAGAAACCTTTGATCAGTGAATGAAGAAAAAAAAATATATATAGACTATAGCCCCCCCCCCCCCCCAAAAAAAAAAAAAAAAAATTAAAACAAAATAAATAAAGACATATATATATTATATATACAAAGAACACAAAAATTCAACAAATTTTAGGTTGACTGATACCACTTTACAGTAGGGAATTTGTTCAATAAAGCTGTTACTGAATATGCAGTACTGTCAAACAAGGAATCTTCATTTTTTTGTAAAGGTAAACAGTATCACTTTATCACATGCTCCCTGAAGAGGTATCAGCATTGTAGCTTTTCTTAGTATTCCATTAGAGGCTCATTATATTGTTTATATATCGCACTATTCATGATGGGGATATACATGCTGTTCCCTGATTTTTGTTATCACATATACTGTCCTGACCTTTGCAAACATGTGAGGATGTGAAGAAATGAGTTCAAGTCATGTTGAGCAACTCCATTGAACCTGAAGTTTCCCTTCCTGATCTGAGGAAAACAACCCTGTAACATATAATAGCAACATTGCTTGTAAAACTTGTATCAGTTTCAAGTAAGTGGATCTATTTCATTCTGGCATATTATATATTTTCTTGGGGAATACACACTCAACATCTAAAGTTACATCCCTTAAACAAAATGAAAATAAGGACAAAAAAGAAGTATGGAGAATCTAGGCAATTTGTTCAGTATAAATGAAAATTAAAAAAAGCTAGAGTACCTGGTAAGACAAATTATGCACAAGAGATTTACATTAGTACTGGTAGTAGTATCCACTATAGCAGTAGTAGTGGAATATGGTATCGGCGACAAGTAAATCAAAATCAACTACCTGTTAGACAAATCTTTATACTTTTTCTCATACTGTTAGGGGATCAGAGAACAACAGAGAACAGAAGAGCATTACTTTTACGATTCAACCCTTAAAGGGCTTGGGTTGGTGGAAGCAGCCAACTTTCCTGAAAGTAATATGTTTGAGATTAATTTTATTCCACGAGCTGTCCTGACTTAATAGCCTAGAATCTTGTGCATTTTTTATACTAAATTTATATAATTTAAACCATTGTTTACTGCGCAGCATCAAGAATGATTGCACTGTGCACATCAAAAATAGACATTAACCCATATGTAATGTACCGGTACACAATGCAGAATAAACAAGATGAATGTGACTGCATCTCTGATATGACTCCCCCTACATGTATGATCAATGATCCTGTGACCTTTAACATCTGACCTCACAAACCTAAACTCTTTTCCTTTAATATATTTTTATGCTCTCACATACCTGTGCCTTGTTTGGTTGAAACTGGTTATTTTTTTGTTAATTTTTAGACTAAAAAGGTGTTTTCTGGGGTTTGTAACAGTTCATGACCCTGTTATCATTCACCTTTGATCTCTTATAGTCAAAATCTAATCAGTTCATCCTTACAGGTATATACATATGTACAGGCGCGTACACAGGTGGGTGTGGGGGTTGGGGTTAACCCCCCCCCCCCCTTTGAGGTTTTTTGTTTTATTATTTATTATTTTTAATTAAAAATTTAAAAAAATCCAAATGGATGACCTAAAAAAGATGACATTACCCCCCCCCCCCCCCCCAATGGAACGGAATGACGTTCGTTCAAATTTTGAAATTTCGGGACCAAATTTTTTTTTTAAATGTCATCTTATCATTTTGTTTGATATTTCTTCTTCTTCTTTAAGATAATCTGCCTCCTTCAATACTGAAGATTCTTGCAGATGCCGTATATCCTCGGCCTGATTGGGGTGTGCAGGTGGACCACTACACCGGGGTTTCCCCCTACTCTTATATGAATAGTGCAGTGGGTTCTTAAAGTGCCTGTTCAAAGAAAATCACAAATATGGCAAATAGCATATCACTAGAAACTAGTCAGCTAACAGATGGCCATCGTACAAGTTTTAGGTCAACTACCCGGTACATATCGGGTGATTTATAAAAATACAAATAAAACCACCTCCCTAGCATCTGGGATATGCGAGAGATTCGCCAAAAAAAGAACGATGTTTTAATGCCGTCACAATATGAACCAATACTGCCCAAGCAGACGACATCTCACAAAGAATGAACATAATTGAAATGCTATTATTTCTCAAATTATAAGGAGTTTAGTGTATATAATAAATAATAATAATACATTACATTTATAATGCGCTTAATACAATGTTTCTAAGCGCAAGAGAAAGAAGAAAGGATAAGGAAGGAAAGTGAGAAATACTAAAGGAACATGTTAAAAACATCGAATTACAAGTAAACGGCAATGAAGAATATGACATTACACAAAATAAGGCCGCATCGAAATTGATTGAAATATATATTAATAAACCAGATATGGACTCAGAATTATAATAAACCATATGATATATGAAAATACAACTTAAATGCAAACTATTATATACATTCAATATAAGAATTTTGCATCATTAAACTATATAAATGTAATGGAATTTTACACCATTCAAAAAGGGATATGAAACCGATTCTGATAACAAAAATCTTTTGTTTGTAAATACACAGGATAGGGGTTAATGAACAATCAAAGGAACCACACTTTCAAATTGAAAAAACCCTCGGAATAATAGCATGGAATTCACCTTCTATAGGGATAACGCAAATTATGAAATGTTTGACATGAGGCCTTTAATCGAGATTTTCACTATAATGACGTCATCAAAATGAAAAATGGTTATTACAGAGCTTGTAGAAAATTGTTTTAGCTACAACATATCAAAATTTTGAAGAAAATTGATCAATATTTACAGAGATACAATCAATTTTACATAAATATGCTGACGTCATAATATGCAAATTCGTATTTTGAGTTCCAAGGCCATTGTGATGATGTCACGATACACTTAATGGCCAAATGAGACATGAAATCATATCTCCGACTCATACTCTATCTAAATATGAAAAAAGATTGAGGATCCCGGTGCATTCCAAAGAGCTATAATGGATTTTGTATAGGCATGTTTTTGCCCATATATGCTATGTATTATAAGAGCTCGCGTGCACGGATATTTATCTTGAATGGATGCTCATCTTGTTATTAATGGTCATAAAGATATGAACGTGGTATCAAATTGTACAAACAAATATATGAAATATCATGAAAGAAAAAAAAATGGCGATTCTATGTTATGTAATGGTGTTACGCGCGAAAACGCGCGTGCATGAGCGTGTGCGGGATTTTTTATGAAATGCTTAAAATGGCCTGAAACGTATGTAAAATAAATTTGAGACGATTTTGAGCATTTTGAAATTTTGCGCGCGCACTGACGAGCGGACGTACGCGCATGCGCGCGTTTTTCGACCTGAAATTGACCGGACTGATATTGACCTTGATCATGATAAATATGAATGAGAAATGACTTTTGGTTATGAAGATATGATCATGAGTTGATTTTCAGAAAATTTCACAAAATGGCGCCTAGATGACGTCATCAGTCAAGGTCAAGGTTGAAAAAATGTCTGTGTTTTGTTCTAATGCCTATACATATGTGTGCAAAATTTCAAGGTATTTGATTGAACGATTTTCAAGTTATCTTGCTCACAAAAAAGTGGGTCGAAATAAGAAAAATAAACTAGAATTTAATTCGTCACGAAGACGAATAAGGTGGTCTGTCTAAGTCTTATGATAGATTTGAGAATGGGAGAAGTTATATAGACATGTAAACAATGATGATCATGATAGTAAAGGTGATGATGATGATGATAATGATAATGTTATATGATAATAAAAACGATAATGTTAATGATGATGATGATAATGATCATGATCATGATGATGTTGATGATGATCATCTTCAGACCATGATGATAATGATGGTGACATTGATGATGATGATGATGATGATGATGATATTGATGATGATGATGATGATGAGCATGAGCATGATCCTGACATCTGATTGAAAAAATGAGGAAATATTTAGATAGCAAATAGTCTCAGCTACAACATACTAAAATTTGGAAGAAAACTGTTGAATAATAACCGAGATACTGGTCAAAACACATTGTCATGCAGAGTCATGTTTTGAAAAAAGTGACCTCCCATAGACATAACACGCAAATATGACAAATTATGCATTGTCGCCTTTAATCGAATATTTTACTATGATGACGTCATCAAAATGAAAAATAAATGACATATTTTTGATAGAAAATTATCTCAGCTACAACATATCAAAATTTGGGAGAAAATCGATCACCGATAAGTAAGATAATCTCAATTAAACAAAGACAAAAATGACGTCATCAACAAAATACATTTGTTTGAGTCTAGATGCCAATATGATGACTTTGTTTCACTTTGTACGAGTCAGGGTGGCATGAAATCATATCTCCAACTCATGCTTTCTCCAACCATGATATCAAAATTGGGGGTCGATGGACTATCTGAAGAGCTATTTCAATTTTTAAAAAGGCATGTTTTTGATCAAATTTGCATTATATTGCCCATAGCAGCACGCGCGGATTTTGAACTTTGACGCGCGCTCACGGCCTTATGAAAGGTCAAGAGTGACTGAAATTAATGTAAATTGTCAATTACGGTAAGAGGAATCCAAATCATGTAAACATTTTGAATTTGACCTTTTCCGCGCGCTGTGAGCGCGCACAACGCGCGCGGGGACACGTACGGACGGAAAATTTTGAAATGCTTAAAATGACCTGATTCGTACTCTCGTTTAATAGTTAAGTGATATTGAGCAATTTAAAATTTTGACGCACGCGTTTGCGCGCGTCATGACCTTTATTTGACATTTGATGACACGACCTGTTGACCCTTAACCTGAAGTATATGTGATATGAATATGAATGAACTTTGAGTACGCATCATGAAGATATGATGGATAATGTAATTTCACAAAATGGCGCCTGGATGACGTCACGATAATTTGATGACCTTGAAAATGTTCCTGTCACGTCTCATGATGATTACCTATGACTGTGTCAACATTGAGAGAAATTGGGTGGATGGATATTGAGAAATCGGTTGCACAAAAGAGTGGAGAAATAAATAAAAATAAATAATAAATAAATAATAATAAATAAAGAAATAAAGAAAGAAAATTCTGACGAAATCAATAGGTGGTCTGTTGACAACAGACCACCTAATAAAGAAAGAAAATTCTGACGAAATCAATAGGTGGTCTGTTGACAACAGACCACCTAATAATAATAAAGGAAATCCTGCAAAGTTCTAGAAAATGTGCAATTTCAACTTTCAATTGAAAATTCCGACATGATCCCAACATCTGATTAAAAAACAAAGTACACCGTTTTTGTAGCCCATAGTCTCAGCTATAACATACCAAAATTTGGAATAAAATAGAGCACGAAAAGGCGAGATAGTGCTCAAAGATGAGTGTCATGTAGATTCATGATGTGAACGAAATTCACCTTCCATAGAGATAACACGCAAATTAAGAAAATTCTGACATGTCGCCTTTAATTGAAATTTTCACCATGATGACGTCAT